GGTAAATGTATGACATTTTAAAGACATTACTGATTTTCAAATTGTTTTCAAACAAAATCCATTTTTAATTAAATATCTAAAGTACCAAATTGTTCTGTTCTACCATAAGCTCTGTGAGACAGAGAATGATGTCTCTTCCCTGGAATATAATGAACAGTTTCACAAAATCTTGTTTAATGAATGACAGAAAAAAAGGGATGGCTATTCTTTTAATGTCATTTCATACTACCTCAGTTGATGACTCATATCCATAAAAGACAAGCTCTAGTATTTTAATTGCCACATAGCACAGATCTAAAATTATTATTAAGTGATATTAATTCTGAATAGCCTTTTGCACTACCTGAGAACTTACAGCTTTGTCAGGACTCCAACACCATGTTTGACATCCATGCAAAGATGCTAATTAATACTACCGGCATCTACTACATTTACATCATACTACATCTACATCTGTAGATATTGTAATGGTAGATTTTGCCCCCTCTTCTATGAAATAGGTAAGATGGTACCACGGCTCTCAAAGACAGCTGAAGAAATGTATCCTCAGCTAAGTAAAGCTGACAGCCCAACAGCTTACAGCCTGATGAATCACACAACCAGTACTGACTACTGGCTGTAACAGTCCATTCTGCTTAATGCCTCAGCCTATACCACAAGCCTGTCGTGTCATTTTGCCTCACTGCAAAATCTAGGAAGAGAAAGAGGGAAAGCGTGGGCTTGTGAGGCATGATCAGGTAGACACACTATATAGTTACAGCTCTTTCAAAATAGAGCCACCTTTTAAGAACAAATGGAAAGAGAAAGCTTTTCCCACAATTTAAAAAAAAAATAGAATGACCGAAAAAAGCTTTTCTCCATCTAAACAAACACTGTTTAGTCCTTTCCCATCAACGATATCCTGCTGGATTGAAGATGATAATTAATTCCCTTCCAGATGCCTCAGCCTGCTCCCATCCTGCTCAGCTTTGCAGGGATTCCCAACATGGCAATGAAAGTCCCCTCTGCAATCTAGCCACAAGACCTACCCCTGGTGAATAAAACACCTCGGGGATGTAGAAATCTGTTCTTCTCCCAATGGGTGTGGTAATTCTGGCTCAATCACTCATCCAAACTGAAAATTTTTAGAGATGCTAAAAGTCTAGGGTGCAACGTGAATATGATCAGATTCTTTGACTTGTATAGCCATGGACCCTGACCTCTTAACCCCATTCTGTGCATGCTGGCCAGCATGATACCTAGTGATGAAGAAGGGGGCTAGTGCTATTTCTTTGGGCCCAGTTCTGAATTCCCCCTACAGAACAAATGGCACACTAGAGTTGGCTACAAACAGAGGAAATTTGACCTGAGAAAAGCCTGCAGAATTTGGGACTTTTAACAGTTTGTGAGCAACAATGTTTGGATACACTTTCAAAAATGGTCTCAGAAATTCTAAAATGAGCAAGACCCTTCTCTGACTGCAAACAACACACTGGCAGACAGATGGATGAAATCCAATTTCTGATTTTTTAAAAGAAATATTATCCTTAATAAACAACTTGAGCTTTTCACCAGCCAAGCACTCTCTCTCTCTTTGTCCTCTCCAGGCAACGTGATCACAGTCGTTTCTATTCAGCAGTTATATATCACCCAAGCACTTAACCATCCGCGGAGGCAGAGAAGCATCCCAAAGGTAGCACTGGAAGCAGGATTCAGAGTCTTGGCTTGCAGCCACAATAGCCTCTGATACCCCCCTAATGTGGATGAATGGCTGTGAGTCAGTAGGTGGTTCCTGTCTCAGCTGAAGACTCCTACCGAAGCTCATCCAACCAGGCCTCAGCCTGCTCCCATCCTACTCAGCTTTGCAGAGATTCCCAACATGGCAATGAAAGACCCCTCTGCAATCTAGCCACAAGACTTATCCCCAGTGAATAGAAAGCCTTAGGGATGTAGAAATCCGTTCTTCTCGCAAGGTGTGTGGTAACCCTGGCCCAAAAACTCATCCAAACTCACATGTTGTAAAATGACTGACGATGATAATGATGTAGGTGATAACAACAGCCAATATGTATTGACTGTTCATTCACTTTGTGGGAATGACTAACATGAAAGACCTTACTGTGTTTTTGCAGAAAACCCTTGTTCATCAGGTGCAGTCAACAGAGCAAGGGTTGTGGAGTCAGACAGAACTGGAGTCAGATGCCTGCTGTGCCGCAAAAAAAACCTCAGTGACCCGGGGAAGCCCTTTAGCCTTTTTGGGCTTCATTCTCATCTGATAAATGGGGATACTTTTGTCCACTTTGGCCTCTTGCTGAAGATTGTGTAAGTTTACAGAGGAATACCAGAGATAAGGGATATGAATGCTTATCACAAACTGGAGTGCACTCTACACAGGATCTGGTCAAGGGTCACATGGCCGGTTAGTGGCTGGCCTAGAACTAAGGCCCAGCTGTCTGAACTCCCAGGCCAGAAAGGTGGAACTGTTGTTCCCCTCAGTTGAGAGGAGCACAGAGACCACCAGCTGTCATGGAGAGGCTGTTTGACACAGGAACACCCAAAAGCTGACTCTCCTATTTCCAGACACCAGTTTCTCACCCCCACATTTCACCACTGGTGCAGCTGCCTTTACCTCTAAATTTTCTCCTAGCACAGACACATACAACAGTCATATACACACACTCTCTCATTCTCACACACACATGCACACCTTAGTTCTTACAGATTATCAGAACTCACAGAACTGGTCCTGCAACCCCTAGGGATCTGTCAACATCCAGGGAAATTCTGGAACCCCTAGGCTATCCCTATTCTTCAAGGTGAATATTTCTGGAGGTGGGCAGGAATGAATGAAATAAAAAGGTGCTCTTGAGGTAGCAATGCATTTCTCTAGCAAATTTTATTTCATTTTTGCAAATACTGTAAAATCCAGTAACTGTGACTTTTTAGAACGTGGTTTTTCTTTGATTAGACTAGATGGCACTGTGGCATCACCCTTTTAATAACCAAGAAAATCCTATGTCATTTCAAATAATTTTGCTTCAATTTGAGACAATCCAAGAGGCTTTGAGGGGTCCTGGTTATCTTCTGGAGAATTCGGGAAGGAATCTGCTAGAGGACTGTAGCCACCAAACAGATAATCTAGGCCACATTAATAATGTGTGTTTATAGACAACACACCCTGACCTACATGTTCAAAAGGATCAGTAAAGGCACATGTGCCCCATGGAACTCCAGACAAGGCCATGGCTTTCATGGTGACCAAGACCTTGTTTTCACTTCTCTGCTATAGCCGTGGCTGTGGAATTCTACTTTTGCCCAGAAGAGCTTTTTAAATATTTCCACCTCTCACTACACCTACAAGGTCTGTCAGTATGACAAATTCTTTTCAATATTGCCAAATTGTTTGGGAACTTCTTAAACACCAGAATATTGTTGTGACAATGACTTAGACAATTGTACCAATGGATTGAGGTCCTGGAGCTAAGGTTTTCTTGGGGTGGAAGAAAAAAACTGTTACTATTGTAAAGGAAATACAAGTTTGGCAGATTCTGCCACAATTCCAGCATTTGAGAAAGGACACTGTAAACTGAGAGAAGAGAGAGTGAAGAGGAGAGGCAGGGGGTGATGTTCCCCCTAAATCTCAATGGTAATCTGAAAGTCAAGGCTCTAGGGCTCCATTTGCTGCAGTTGGACAGAAAAATCCACACTGGTTGTTGCATTCTGACAGTCAACTGCAAAGCATCCCCTCGTCCAGGGTAACAAGTGCACCCGGGGGGGATGGGGGCGGTACACAGACATATCCTTGCCGGCCCAGTGACCCTATCCAGAGGCCTCCAGGCCATGAAACTCACCTTGTGCACCCCCTAGACTCCCTCCTTCAGCCCAGATTTGTTTTAAGGAGACTTGCGAAACAGTAGCCCTGGTTGGACCAACTGCACCCCATAGCACTCACTTCCCCCACCCCACCACCACCCACTTTACAGTACTCCATGACCTCCAGCAACTGGACATCGCCTCTGGAGGAAGGAAAATACCCTTGCTTCTAGCTACAGACTATTAATAAATCAGTTTTTACCGCATCAGCCCAGGCTCACAGAAAATGGGCTGGCAGCGCCCCATGCCGGGGCTCGGGCTCGGGCTTTTTAAATACTTTTTGTAAATCAGGAGAGGTTCCTGGTGGCTGAACCCCACATGGGGTCCAGGACACCATCCCAGCCCGCCCTTCGGTCCGCGGGGTGCCCCCAGCACTCCTAAAGGGCCACAGATGCCTCTCATGCAGCCAGTGGTGAGAGGCAAGCCTGGGAACCACGAGCTCTCCTTGGATGTCGGAAAATAGAGACAGAGGGACACCCAATAGCCCGGGGAGAGCAGAGCTAGAGCGGGGAAGGAGGGAGGTGATAAAAGTCTGGCAAGAAGAGAGAAACAGAAAGGGTAAGAGAGCAAAAGAAGAAAAGCGAAAGAGGGGAATGGAAAGAAGGAAACAGCGCGCAAACAGGAGCAGACAAGATCTGGGGCACAAGAGAGAAAGAGGGAGAACAAGGCAAATAGACGAGGCGAGAAAAAAGGGGGAGGGAAGAATGCGGGCGCCGAAAGGAGGAAGAGAGCGCTAAAAGGAGACTTCGGAACCCGGGTGCAGAGTAGAGGAAAGGAGGTATCCAGAGACGCTGCACCGAGAGCGCGGCTCTTTAGGGCTCTCCAGTGCAGAGACTGAGTGCGATGCCCCGTCCCAGCGACCAGTGAGGCGCTTGTTCCGGGCCTCTCGGCTGCCTCCCCCCTCCAGTTCTCCCAACCATCACGCAGGCCACCCTGCGGACAGACAGACGGTCAGTCCGGGGCCAGAGCGGAAAGCCTTTCTGAGGCCGCCACAACGCCGCGAACGTGCGCTACTGGGCGCCCAGCACCGCCCAGTCGGGGTGCAAACGCCCGGGCGCCAGGGTGCCTGCTAGGTCCCCGGCTTGGGGCAGCCGCGCCTCCCAGTCCTCCTAGGCCCGAGTCCCGCTTGACTACGGGAGCGCACTCACCTGGACGGTCTCAGCCTGGCGTCGCGCTTGCCGTCCACCACAGAGGGCACACAGCTGGTGAGCTCAGTCCAGTCGGCGTGCAACCCGCAGCTCCAGCCCGTGGAGAACCTGGAGAAGAGCCAGGTCTCCCGCTTACCCGGCCGGTGGCAAGTGCATTTCTTCTGACCCACGCGGCACTCGCACGGCTGCTCCAGCTGGATGTTGCGCACCAAGTGGCGGCCGAAAGTGGTGCCCCCAGTCTTCTGGATGTGCAGGAACACGATCAGGTCATCGCCTTTGATGTCGAAGTCTACCTTGCGCAGGAGGTCGCCGCGGGTGAAATTGTAGCGGGGCACGAACCTGGCGGAGCTCTCATCCTCCGAGCGGTACGGGTCCCGCACCGGGGAGCTGAACGCCTGCAGGCGGAGGAGCTGGCATTCTGTGCCGGGGCATACGTATTGGAGGACGATCACGGCAAATAGGAAGAGCATCACCAAAGCTAGCAGCAGCTTGTTGGATTTCTCATCCATGTTCCCGACGCTGGGGGAAACCCAAGCTCGTTACGTCAATCCCGCAGCTCGGCCCGCGCTCGCCGTGCCCCCGCACCGCCCCCTCCCCCTGGAGCCGCCGCTGCGCCCCTCTCCCCCTCCCCTCCGCACCGAGTACTCCACGGCGGCGGCGGCTGCGGCGGCGGCTCCCTTCCCCGCTTCCTTCCTTCCCGGCAGGCTCAGCGCTGTGGCTTCTGCGGCACACACACACCCCCACCCCGATTCCTTCCCGCGGGCCGCTCGCCCCCTCCCCCCGCCAGAGCTCTTCGGAGCTCCCCAGAGCCCCTCCGCGGGTTTTCGACCCAGTGGGACCCCTCCGGGCCCAGTCGCCCCACTCCCCTCAACTCACGCCCCCAGTCCGGGCCCCCGTGTGTCTCGCTCCACTCTCGGTGGCTCCCATCCCCATCCCGCTTCGCCCGCCGGACTCTCCGAGCTCTTCTGCCCCCATCCCTTTTGGAGCGCACACCTCTGTCCGGGTTTCTCCCCGCATGCCCCGAAGCCCTCCTTTAGCCCGCGCCCGCGCCCGCTTGCCCACCCGGGAGGCGGCCTCGAGGGAGCTCGGAGCCGGGCGCTCAGAGTTCCCCTGGGGGAAGGAGCCCGCCCGCAGCCCGACTTGCTAGCGGAGACGCTGCGCTGCCGGTGCCAGGGGAACAGTGGCGACGGAGCCGCGGCGTGGCCAAATGCGCGCCGCGCCCCTCCGGAGACCCCAGCCTGTCCACCAATGGCCAGCTGGAACTTTGCGCCCTTCTATACCCCCCGCGGCTGCCTTCCCTTCCCGTACAGCACCTTCGCACCCTGGCCTGGGGGCGCGAACCCCGCTTTCACCTAGAACGTACCTGGCCAGGGGGCCGAAAATCTTGGAGAAGATCGCACCGAGCACGTGCTTCAGCGAGTGGCCCAGGGCGGCCAGGCCCCGAGTGAGCAGGACCCGGCAGAGGGAGCCCAGGTCCCAGCGTCGCCTGAGGACGTGCATCCGCCTGCGGCGGCCCCGGGACAGCAGCGCGAAAAGCGGGGCGCACGCGGCTCCCGCCAGGGAAGAAGACGCCTTTCGGGGCTTGTCCAGGAGCGGCCGGGAGTGGAATCCGTGAGACACACCCCTAGGAGGGCCCGCGCGAACTGAGGCGGCGACCGACCCTGGCCGGCTCGCTGCCAATTCGGCCTCTACTCTGGAATGCCGGCGGGGACAGGTGGTGCGGGCGGGCGCTCCTCGTTCCGGTTGCCGCGGCGGCTCGAACGCCCGGACTGCACACGCAGGCAGTGCCATTCCCCCCTTCAGGCAACTCAGGGTACTAAGGATCACGAGCGAGCTTGAATTTATATAATAATGCCTCACGCCTAAGAGCTCGAGCCACTTCACAAGCAGAGAACCTGGGTTTTCTCTTTTCTAGGAGTACGGAGGTCACTCTGCTTAGCGCATCACTCCACTTGGGCTCGTAATTTCAACCTCTCCTAAAATAGCAAAGGCGCAAATTGGAGCTTTTCCGTCTCTCTTTGCCAATTTCCATTCTCCAGCGGAAGCGGGGGCATTTTCTGAAAAGGTAAGTCAGCGTGATAAAAAGACAGCATGACCAAAAAGCATTACAGAATGAGAATCTGACCTTTTTTAGAGCACAGACTGTCTTCTTGCTGAATCCTGTGTACCAAACCCTGTGCCTGCAGGAGGGCTTGACTCACAAAATGTTTGTTGAATGAATGGATACATAACTAAAAACTCCATCAGAGTGAGACCATCTAATCCAAGGTAATGTGACACATGAGGAAACTGAGGCCCAGAGAGGGGTAGGGACGTGCCCAAGGTCACACAGCAGAGCCCCAGGGTTTGAACCCAAGAAACCCGGCACCATCCACCTATTTCCTGATACTAACACCACCTTCTCTAATAAATAGGCACCGATCTTCCTCAAGCTCCAGTGTCCGAAAGGCTCTTTGCTGTTGCAGGACCAGGGATGCAAGGATTAACACGGAAAAAATGGATGTCCCTTCAGGAAAAGGACCCTGGGAACTCAGGACTCAGTCTGTCCCCATCTGATTGATCAAAGGGGCTTGCTGTACATCAGGACACTGGTGTTTCCGTGACTGAGTGTGCAACTCCCTCCAGTCCCATTGCTGCAGAAGGGGCACCGGTTGGCAGCAGTGTTTCTGAGCAGTGCTGTTGGCACTGGGGCCACTGAGTGAGAGGATTCGGACCACGAGCTGAGTTCTGGGGTGGGGGCATGTCCCTCCTGGAGACAGGCTCTCCCAGTATCTCCCTCGCTGAGCTCTGCTCCATCCCTTTCCTGTTCTATCTATGCCATGAAGCGGCAAGCCTAAGAATAGTCTAGAAGTCCTGGGAAATCTGTCACTTCCTTGCTGGGCAACCCTGGAATAATCACTTGCCCCTCCTGAGCCTCAGTTTTCTTGTCTGTAAGATAGGACCAATTATGTCCTCTGTTTTGACCAACTGAGTCACCGTGGGGATGAAATGTAGAAACCTTTAGGCCACTCCAAATGTGAGGCTGTGTTTACCTGTTGCTCTAAGCTCAATGTGCCAACTGCGTCACAGGCCAAATAAGGAACAGGCCCTTCTCCGGCAATTTTGCAGCTGTGCACCCTGTCCTTACCACCCCCTAGAATTCCCAGCCCTGGCTAGACTTCTATGTGCCCCAAACATACTGGGGACAGTGAGGGACCCTTTGTCCAGCTGCAAACATAAGGGATAGTGGATTTTTTTGGAATCCTGAATTTCTAGCCCTTCAGGCATCGCCTGTCCTGAGGCTCCAGGAACACTCTGAAAACCCAATGAACTTGTACGAAGAAGCCAGATGTAGTAACTTATAAGGTAGACCTCTCAACTTCCCCAAGAGCTCCCCTGGTGTACCGGCCTGGGCCTGCTCCCCCTGAGGGCAGCTTAGGGTGTGAGCCAGGGTAGAGGGAAGCTATGGGGGTGGCCCCGCAGCTCAGTTTGCCAGCTGCCCCTGCCTTCTGCTTGGCCACTCACTGCGGTCAACCTCTTTAGCCTACCCAATAGGTGGCTCTCCTCATGGTGCTGCATAAAGATTCCCTGCCATTACACCACCTTTGTATGTAATGGCATTCACTGGGTCCCTAGGAAAATATTTCTGAAACAGGTGGGTCACAGATTCAAGCCGTCAGCAGCTAAACTATGGAGTTTCTACTGTAAGAGGGATTAGTGGCATTGGAACACAAGAAAGTGCCTTGGGTGGAGGGAAGCGGGAATTGGTAAACAGTACGGGGAAAAGTCAGGTTTTACTCATTTGAGTTGTGATAAGGAACGTGTCCACACACATGCATGCACACTCACAGTCCAACCTTCAGAGAAAGGGCCAGTGAGGTTGGTAGTTGCAGAGCAAGAGGGACACGGTGGGGCTGTAAAGTTCAGTTTCTGAGATGTAATCTGTCTCTGGGATTTTTGCATTTAGAAGCCCTTCCTCCGCCCCCTCATGCTGTGAGGAACAAAGAAATGAATCTCTCATACAGGAATTCATATATCAGGGCTCCTGGAAGTACAAGAAAACAGTCTTTGTGGGGAGCAGGGAGTCCCACAAACCTCAGAAGATCCCTCCAGGATTGAAGAGGCTTTTTTTCCGAGAAGCAGGGAATTTTTCCTACGTGTGTCCCAAGAGCCATGTTCTCCTGAGGCCAGGGCTGTGCCTTGGCTGCATGTTGAAGAGGCTTCTTGTAATCTCGGCTGGTCTCTGCTCCCAGGAGCTGGTTCCTCTCAGGCAGTGAATGACAAAGGCTCAAATGCTCTAGATTTTGGCCTTTTGGGGAGAGACTAGGGGTGGGAGGCAAAAAAAAAAAAAAGGAAGAGAACTGGCCGAACTGTCAAGACTTTGGTTTTCCATCTCCTTATTTCTAACACCAACTGGAGTTGCTGTGTATACATATATTTGGGATTCAGTACCTGGAAGGCGAGGAGAACTCTGTCATCTGAGCAGGGCTTCTGGTTGTCTCTATGGTGTGGTATGATTTTCATTATTTTCCCAGAACCGTCCTTCCGTGGTTTCCAATGAAAAGGTTGATGATTCTGGGAGCATAAAGGTCAGCCTGGCTTGCATACTAAGCAGCACGAGGCCAGACCTGCATTTGGTTCCTGTAATCTGAGACAACAGTGGGAGGTAGTTGCAAGAGCACTGGCCTGGGAGTCCAGAGACCTGGGCTCATGTCTTGACTCTGACACTAATGAGACCCTATATATATATGACGCTGAGGAAGCCACTTGCTCACCTTTGGGCTCAACTTCCCTATCTGAGAGACAGCAAGGTTGACTTTGTGATTCAAGGGGCACTTTCCTGATCTGACATTCCTTGTCATGTTTTTACCTTTACTGTCTTCCTCAAAGGCTGAAGGACTGCCAAAGACTCAGGGCCTTAGCCCGGGGGAATGACTTAGACCTGGTCCTACATGCGTTCTGTGACATTTGCATCACTGGATCCCACCAGGCCAGCAGCAGCTGCAATTGTTCTGGGCCCATATTACAAGGGTGACAGCAGGGTACCCTGTTCAAATTAGAACAGAAATAGTGAAAATTTCATATTAAAGTAAGCATGACACTCTTTCTAGAAAGCATAGATGATGTCTTCCCCTCATCCTGAGCATTCTCTTCAACCCTGGTTTTCTAGCTGTCTCTCATTTTGTGAAAATGTTCATACTCTCAATAATAGGCAATTCTGTCACAAAGATCAAAGGCATGCAAACTACTGAGTTGATTGGTTTCTGTTCTTATGTGTCTCTCCAAACGGAATGAATAGCAGTACTTAATGAAAACACTGTCCTGCAATTCAGGCTTTAATATTATAAACAGGCTGGGTGTGTTATATGCATCACTCTCAATAGTCATTTATTTTCCCCACAAAACACTGAGTTTTATTTTTCTAGCCTAACAAAACATGGGCTCAAGGAGTTAAAAAAAAAAAAAAAAAAAAGGAGGTGCCAGGGTGCTGTGTATGCCAAATGAATATGTGCTAAGAAGGTAGGATAAGCACTGGAATGGGGTTCATAGTAGACCCAACCCTGTGAACAGGCAGCCCGATGACCAGCCCTCTCCTGATGAAGGATTCCCAGTATTTCACTAGCAGTGAAATTCCCTTTTTTTGAGATGGAGTCTCACTCTGTCACCCTGGCCAGAGTGCAGTGGTGTGTTCTCGGCTCACTGCAGCCTCCACCTCCCGGTTCAAGCGATTATCATGCCTCAACATCCCAAGTAGCTGGGATTACAGACATGCACCACCATCCCTGGCTACTTTTTGGATTTTTAGTAGAGACGGGGTTTGGTCATGTTGGCCAGGCTGGTGTCGAACTTGTGACCACAGGTGATCCACCCGCATCAGCCTCCCAAAGTGCTGGAATTACAGGCGTGGGCCACTGTGCCCAGACGAAATTCCCGCTTTTCACTGACAACAAATGGAAGAGTCAGTTCATGCAGGGCTTTTAAAGCTACAATAAGCCAAGGCCTCACAACCATAGGCAGTGGGCCAGACTGCTCCTGGAACAGTCATCTCACTTCTTTGGGCCTCAGTTTCCACTCTTAGAAAATATCCTGGGCTGGGTATGGTGGCTCCTGTAGTTCCAACACTTTGGGAGGCCAAGGCAGGTGGATCACTGGAGCACAGAAGTTTGAGACCAGCCTGGGCAACATAGCAAAACCCCGTGTCTACAACAACAACAACAACAAAAAAATTATAAAAAATTAGCTGGGCGTGGTGGCATGCACCTGTGGTCCCAAGCTACTTGGGAGGCTGAGGTTGGAGGATCCGTTGAGCCTGAGAAATTGAGGGTGCAGTGAGCCATGACCATACTACCGCATTCCAGCCTGGGTGACAGTGTGAGACTCTGTCTCAAAAAAAGAAAAAAAAAAAGAAGAAGAAGAAAGTAGCCTGACCAGGTACCTCCAAAAAGCTGGTTTAGGGATATAGTAAAGAGGAATCCAATCTCAAACGAGTGCTTTTAAGGAGAAGAGAGCATAGGTTTGGAGAGCACATTGCCCTGTGGGATTTCATTAGGGCTCTTTGAGTTCATCAGAACCTCAATTTTCTCATCCATGAAAATGAGGTTAATGATGGCTACCTCAGTGGGCTGTCATGCGAGTTAACTAAAATAATCTACTGAGAACACTTAGTCTAGTTCTTGAAAAAGCAGACCTTCAGAAAATGCTTGTTTTTTTCCACCTCTTTTGACTCAATATCTTTGATTTGATATCTTTGTTGTATCTTCACAGGAGCAACACACATATACTTAATGACAGGCAACTGGCTATGGGCCTAATTTTGCCCTAGGCTGGCTTTGCCACATCCTATTTTTTTTATCTGCAGTCTTTTCTTACCCTCCCTCCATGTCTCTCCAGTGCTCTCCTGGCTCATGTCCCATGGAGGAGGAAAGCCTCTGATCCACTGTGTCACATTGAGGGATGGGACATACACACGTGTCCCCTTCCAAGATATATCAACAAGAAAAGAGTAGATGGCATTGCTTAACCCTAATGAATGGTCCTTCCCATGAGATACTAGGAAACACAAAAAATAGGGCAGTGGAGGAGATGCTTGGAGAGCTGAGGTAGAGAATGGAAGAGAGCTATAGGTAAATAAAGAGGAGAGCTTACAGGGCAAGCCCTACTTTAAACTCTTGACACTAATTTTAAGCTCCATTCGCTTCAAAAGTTAATGGTTGAT